ATATGGTAATTGACATTCTCAGAAGAGATCACACAAAAGTGTCTTACTCTCAAATTGAAATTCACAAAGATTAAAACGAATTGAGAGATGGCACAGTCATAGCCATGAACTGTGATTTTCTTAAGTAAAAAACTTTTTTTTTTTTTTGAGACAGTCTGGCTCTGTCACCCAGGCTGGAGTGCAGCGGCACGATCTCGGCTCAGTGCAACCTCTGTCTCCTGGGTCCAAGCGATTCTCCTGCCTCAGCCGCCCGAGTAGCTGGGATTACAGGTGCCCACCATCACGCCCAGCTAATTTTTGTATTTTAGTAGAGACGAAGTTTCACCATGTTGGCCAGGTGGGTCTCAAACTCCTGACCTCAGGTGATCTCCACACCTCAGCCTCCCAAAGTTCTGGGATTACAGGCATGAGCCATTATGCCTGGCCCATAAAAGAACTTTATTATATTCCTAAAATTCAGTCATATGAAAGAGTCTGTTGAGCAGGTTAGTCTTTGCTTAACTTTCCTCCTCCCTGTCACTCCAGCCTTGGCTGGGGTGTTTTGTAGAATTTTCAGAGCGTGGAAGACAGACAACTGGAGCTTCCTCCTGCCCTTAACCCATGCTTTTAGGAGAGCAAAAGGCAAAAGATTGAAACCAGTGACTTTAGTTTCCTCAGGCCCTTTCTTTCTAAGGGTTAAAGAAGAAGGAAATATCTTCTGTAGCCAAGAATTCAAGGACTTGTAGAAGACAAGTGAAGGCTATTACAGGGATTTTGTCCTGGTTTGGTGGGTTTATCTCAGAGAAATACCACTCTGGTCTAGAAATGAGTTTTGAAGACTTGGGGAGTTAAAGGGCACTGAGTTTTGCTCTCACTGAACCCTGATTCCAGGTTTTACATGGAGAAATCACCTGAGGGACTTTATTTCTATCCAATGCCCTGGTTTCCATCCTGACTAGAGGATGATGACATCAGCTGATAGGCCATGCTTCTGTCTTCTCTTATGTGCTTCATGCCAAGCCTCGAAATATACCTCTGGACCATCATTTTCACATCTACCTTGTGACTAGAAGTCCTAGTTATGGTATTTCGAAATTTACGATCCGTAATCCTTGCCAGAAATCCTGCAGAGTACCATGGCATGGCATCATCCTGGTCATTGATTTCACTCTTTTGCCTTTTGCTCCCCTAAAAGCATGGGCCAATGGCAGGAGGACGCTCTATTTGTCTGTCTTCCATGCTCTGAAAATTACATAAAAGCATCCCAGCTAAGGCTGGAGTGAAGGGGATGGGGAAAGTTAAGCAAAGGCTAACTTGCCCAATAGGCTCAATAGATTCAGTCTTGTTGGCCAGGTCCACTTGAAGGGTTTTTTTCTGTCTCATCTTGGAGACAGACAGTGAGGTCATGGTACAATTGTTATGAGTAAAGTCAAGAACAGATTCTAGGTAAAAGTAATTATGTACCCAAAAGGAGTTGAAGTGAAAATCAATTTAGGTTTACATTAAACATCCTTCAAGTTCTTATCATTAAATGGAGTTTCAGCATCTCCCAAAGCTGGATGAGTTTTGCAGTTATAACCACCGGATTGTGAGACCATAAGACATTTGAACAATCTTTTATTCTACCCGTCTAGAAAAGCATCTTTTTTATATACCAAATTTTTACACATATATCCACATCTGATTTTGAAATCTAGAGCAGAGGTACTCAAAGTTTGGTTCATGGACTAGTGCCAGTTCACAAATTGTTAATGTTTCATAATGAGGTAAGTATAGAAGTTGAGAGTAACCATTTAGAAACTGTATAGGAATTTTAAAAGTAATATCTGACAAATTTAATAATAAAAATGGAGGCTTGTGTTTTGTGTGCTTTTTAATTTCATTTTCTTAATAATCCATTTTGATTATATTTTATGAAATATTGTTCCATGACAGGTAAGAAATTAAAACAGGCCAGGCATGGTGGCTCACGCCTGTAATCCCAGCACTTTGGGAGGCTGAGGCGGGTGGATCACCTGAAGTCTGGAGTTCCAGACAAGCCTGGCCAATATGGTGAAACCCCGTCTCTACTAAAAATACAAAAAATTAGCTGGGCGTGGTGGCAGGCGCCTCTAATCCCAGCTACTTGGGAGGCTGAGGCAGGAGAATTGCTTGAATTCGGGGCGGTGGAGGTTGCAGTGAGCTGAGATCGCACCATTGCACTCCAGGCTGGGCAACAAGAGTGAAACTCGGTCAAAAAAAAAAAAAAAGAAAGAGAGAGAGAGGGAGGGAGGGAGGGAGGGAGGGAGGAAGGAAGGAAGGAAGGAAGGAAGGAAGGAAGGAAGGAAGGAAGGAAGGAAGGAAAAAGACACAGGAACAATTAGTCCTTCCTCTCAGGTTTGACAAGCACTACTCTAGAGAGACTGGGTAACAGCAGCAAAAAGCATGGACTTGGAATAAGACTGAGTTCAAATCTCCATGCCTCCTTTTCCCCATTTGTACAACAGCCATAACAATGGAGCTTACTTCATGGAAGTGTTTTAAGGACTAAATGAGTTAAGGTGTAAAACACAGAAGAGTGACACTAACGTGGTAAGTGTTTAGTAAGTGCTAACTTGACTGTTCTTTTTGTTATCTAGCAGTACAAGTACCACCTCATTATTCTTTCTCAAAAATGTCTTATTTGTTAGTATATATTTAATCAATCAGAAAATCTGGACTGAATTTTTCAGTTTTCAAAAAAATGTGAAACTAGTATTCTTTCTAAGTTCAGGGGTACAAGTGCAGGTTTGTTATATAGGTAAACTCGTGTCATGGAGGTTTGTTGTATGGTTTATTTCATCACCCAGGTATTAAGCCTAGTACCCATTGGTTGTTTTTCTTGATCTTCTCCCTCCTCTCACCCTCCAAATACCTAATCTTCTCATCCAGAACGATGGGTAATGTCTCTTTGTCAGTTAAAATATCAGTTATGCTATCATAGCAACCCCAAAATTTCAACAACTTAAAACAGCAAAGATTTATTTCTAAATCATGCCACATGGCCCATTAAGGGTCAGCGAGAAGGCCCTGCTCTACTTTGCTCATACTTTGAGATCTGTGCTTCATGTGGCAAATAACTCTTAAATCTTCTACGTATAGAAGTTTTATTTCTATGTGTGAAATAAAACACATCACTTCCACTCATATTTCATAAATAAAAGCAAAGCAAGTCACATGGCCATACCTAATGTCAAGGGATGGGGAGGAAGTATCCTACAATGTGTCTGAAGAACCAGGAACCAATACACAGATAGCATCCCCAAAGAACATATCTGTGTTGGTGCTTTCCCACTAGAATGACTCTTAATCCTTCTTTTTTAATGTAAGATTTAGGCTGGGCACAGTGGCTCACGCCTGTAATCCCAGCACTTTGGGAGGCCGAGGTGGGCAGACCACCTGAGATCAGGAATTCAAGACCAGCCTGGCCAGCATGGTGAAACCCTGTCTCTATTAAAAATACAAAAATTAGCTGGGCGTGGTGGCATGCAAATGTAATCCCAGCTACTCTGGAGGCTGAGGCAGGAGAATCGCTTGAACTCTGGAGGCGGAGATTGCAGTGAGCCGAGATCGCACCATTGCACTGCAGCCTCAGCAACAAGAGCAAAACTCTGTCTCAAAAAAATTAAAAGAAATGTAAGATTTACAGAAGAGTTGCAAAGATAGTACCAAGTGTTCCTTGATACCCTTCACCCAGCTTCTTCTAATGTTAACATCTTACATAACCATGCTACGTTTATCAAAACTAGGGAATTAACATTTGTTAATTAAATTACAACGAAGTTAATTAACAAATGTTAATTAAATTACAGTCAGGATTTGCATTTGCCCATTTTTTCCACTAATGACTGTTTTGTTCCAGAAGCCAGTCCAGGATCCCACATTGCATTTAGTCATCGCGTTTTCTTAGTCTCCTCCAACTGTGACAGCTTTTCAGTCTTCAAAATCTTGACACTTTTAAAAAATAAATAAATTTATTTATTTATTCTTGAGACAGAGTCTCAGTCTGTTGCCCAAGCTGGAGTGTGGTGGTGCAATCACAGCTCACCACAACCTAGGCCTCTAGGGCTCAGTGATCCTCCTGCCCCAGTCTCCCGAGTATCGCACCACTGCACTCCAGCCTGGGTAACAAGAGTGATGAAGAATGCTGTAGAATATTCTTCAATTTGGTTTTAGTCTGTTTTCACACTGCTATAAGGAACTGCCCGAGGCTGGGTAATTTATAAAGGAAAGAGGTTTGACTCACAGTTCACCATGGCTGAGGAGGCCTCAGGAAACTTACAGTTACAGAGGAAGGTGAAGGGGAAGCCCTTCTTCACAGGGTGGCAGGAAGGAGAGGTGCCGAGCGAAGCAGGAAGAGCCCCTTATAAAACCATCAGATCTTGTGAGAACTATCACAAGAATAGCATGGGGGAAACCGCCCCCATGATTCAGTTACCTCCACCTGGTCTCTCCCTTGAAATGTGGGGACTCTGGGGATTACAATTCAAGATGAGATTTGGGTGGGGACACAAAGCCTAACCATATCAGGATTTGATCTGGACTTTAGTACTTCTTAGATGGGGCAAGGTATGTAAAAACTCATTCCACTTTTTTCCTTTCCTCCTCAAGATGTATTCAGACTTAGTGACAGTCCTCCAAGGGCTTCCCAATTTTTTGGACATGTGATGAGTCCTAGTGTTGAGTAGTGGGAGACTGGGCTGCAGTGGATAAATTGGAAAAAGGCAAGTGAATACATATGGATGGGAAAGAAAAAAACAGCTTAGCCTTTGTTGCCTCTACCCTTCCTGCGATAACACTCACCAAATTACAGTTTGCAGAAAAATTGAATTAAACAGGTAAAAGCATTAGCGCCCCTGTTAGTGTCCCTTGATGCACAGATGCCATTAAGAATAGGATACTGAATAACCCTCAGAACAATGAGTACTTTCTGTCCTGAAAATGGAGATCTAATGTCAGAAGAAATATGTTCTTGGAGAAATAAAGCCCGAAGAAGCCAGTGGTAGACTTGTACAGTTTTTATTTACATAAAATATCTCAAAATTCACAAGTATACCACTGCTTATTTTCTTGCTTGAAGATCAGATCTCCGGTTTATTTAATATCAACATTCACCACAGCTGCAGGAAATTAAACTGAACCTTTAACAGGTACCGCATACGGACCTGGTTGGGGTTATAGACAATATATTCATTGTAGTTGAGGGTATAACCATCTGGATTCAGAATTCCTGTGTCACTTGCTGGTCCTAATGGCACTGTACTCCCATTCCTGCCAAATGGAAAAAAAGTGTGTCAACATCAGTCTCTGGTTCAGAAGCTGGAATAGAGAACATAGTCTTATCCAGCCAAAAGGAGTCTTCTAGCCCTCCTGGTTCTGAGTACTTACAGGGTGACGAAGTGGGCAGAACTGGGAGCCATCTTGCCCAGCCCCTTGGTGCTGTGTTTACCTTGAAGCAATCCTTCGGCCTTAGGATTGGCCTCTAGTAGTTCATTACACTGACCTAGAGCTACCTGGAAAGCAAAAAACCTTTGAATGCCCATATCCTACTAAGAATTAGATGGCTCCAAAGCCAAATAGAAAATCCCATCAGTACTTTTTTCTCCTACTCCAGCAGAGGAATCCAATGTACTAGAAATTGTACTTGGTCCTCTCTCAAGTTATCCCAGGTAAACTTCTTGGTTCTGGGGTCAAACTTTTCTCATTGGAAAAAAACTGGAATAAACTAGAGATCACAGACATACTCCTGCCTCACCTCTGATAAGAGCAGCAGTCCTAAATTCTTTAGGTGAGAGGCAAAGCAGTAATTGGCACTCTTGGAAGACATGTCAGCAAAGTAGATTCCTTTCCCAAACTGAAATATATAAATGAATACCAAGGTCAGCTTCTAACCCACTGTGTTAGAGAGAAGGTGCATACCACTGACCCTGTTTTTCCATTCCCTTAAACACAATATAGACCCTTCTCCATTTCCCCTCACAATTCTGTTCTAGAGAGGGTAGAAGCACCTGTGAATTTCTGCCTTCTAAGGGAAAGGCGAGGTATCTTTAGGAATTTAAAGAAAGAGGGACACAGTAAGAGATGACAAGGTTATCAGTGAGCTGGCTTAACTCTTGGGGAGGCGAACCACCTAATCCTAATCTAAGAAAAAAAGTACTGGGAACATTACTGTATCCTTTTCCCCTGTGCACCTAACAGAGTTCAGTTTCACTCACCATGTAACCTGTGATGGGAGCTTCAGGTGGGGCAATTCGAAGCCCATGGCTCAAGATTCCCACCCAGTTACTCAGCCTGGAACCATGCCATAGAAGCATCCTAAGGAAAAGCCAGTATTATTGTACTCTGTTGTTTTGCACAGATAGGTCATAAGCATAAAAAAGCTGACACCTTCTTCTGACTCCCTCTTATAAGTTCTATAGCTGCACTTTTGGGCAAGGAGTGTCTTTCCAAACCCAAAGCTAGACTCAGACCTGTTATGAAGGTCCTCTCTGAAGGCTTCTTTCTCACCCTCCTTCTCTACTTCAAACAAATCCAGCAAGGTCATGGTATAGTCGCTGTGTGTGGGAGCATGGGTGGATTGTAGGTACTGGGAAATAACCTGTGAAAAATAAGACAAAAAGGCCAATGTGGACTCTACAAGAGACTGAGCTGAACTGAAGAATTTGGGGATTCTGATACAACTTGGCAGACCTTTCTGCTCCCAAACAGTCTTACAAGGCAGCTAGGAAAAGCTTGGCCTTCCCAAATCCCTAGTACATAAAAAGTCTGCCCTAATTGACAATTTGCTCTTGACCAGAAGTAGTTAGAGATCAGTGGGATGGGGGAGGTGGTCTTAAGGGTGCAAGAGTATGAAAATAAATGATCATTTTTCTTACTTTGAACTCATAACTTTCATGGTCAAGAGGGTGCAAGGCACAATGTAGGTTTCTATAGTGTTGGTCCAATGGGTGTTCTGGGCTTTGTAGCTCTGTTTTCACCAGCTTAATAGCAATTTCAATGTCTCCCAAAGCCTGAGAAGATGAGATATAGAATTAATGTGGGAGGAAACTGGTATAAGGGATATAATACTTCTCAATTCATACATATCTCACCTCTAGTAATTGTATTTTTTCTGACAGTTCCTTCTGTGTCCGGATTAGTGGAGGAGTACGGAGTCTAAGAACAGAGATATAACCCATAATGAGCTTTCTGACATGTGGCTAAAAGGCACGTGACTAAAAATAGAAAATGACAGGTCCTTTAGAAAACAGGTATGAGAAACAGGTTTTCCATTTGAGAGAGAAAGTGATCTGTAAAGAGATCTTAACTTCCAAATATATAAAATAATATTAAATATATACTCGGTATAAGATGAACTACGTGGATTTTGACTTTTGAGACTAGAGTTAGCATTCTTTTTTTATCAAATCATTTTAAAATTATATCAATATCAACAAGGAACAGTTTGGATGTAGTTCTATCTCAGTAGACCTGTTGACCACTCAGGGTTATTTCTAGGTCACAGGGCTCTATAAAGCAATAAAAGAAATAGAAATAGGATGAAAACCAGAAAACAGAATCAACAAATGTAAAATGTTATTTTGTTTATCTAATATCACTTGAGTTCAGAGAAATGGTGTTTGTGTGGTTTTAGTCACCTCAAATAGGAAAAGGGGGTCATGTGCCTGAAGGTGTTTTACTTGGTGGTTGGATAGCTAGACCCATTCTCTCTTGGGTTGGTAACTTCTACTTTGTCAGAGAATATGGCTGTGGTCAAGCCAGGAGATTGCATCCCCTATTTGTAAGCTGATTAAATAGGCTACCTATGTATCATTTTGTTTCTGTATGTATTCAAGATGATCATTTTCTTAGGAATAAAAGATTCAGAAGATTATAGCTGCTGCTGATAGATACAGGGGATATGTATAGGTAGAAGAACAAAGTGAAGTAACAGCACAGGCCTTACCCAAAGTCATGCGGAATCCTGGTGTAGAATTCATTGCATGCTTCCATGAGAGCTCGTCCATGCTGGCCAGCCCGAATACAATCCTCAATCTTCTTAAGAGACTGGTAACCTGCCTTGATTTGTGCCACTGTCAGCTTCCCTGCAGGCCCAGCCAGAGATCAGACTCCAAACAAGGATCCCAGCTAGTGAACTGTAGTTACGTCCTTGCCTAAAAACGACTTTCACCTTTCAACTTTTTTTTTTTCTTTTTTTGGGATGGGGTCTCACTCCTGTTGCCCAGGCTGAGTGCTGTGACATCAACACAGCTTAATGCAGCTCAACTTCCTGGGCTCAGGTGATCCTCCCACCTCAGCTTCACAAGTAGCTGGATCACAGGCACACACCACCATGCCTGACTAATTTTTCTATTTTTAGTAGAGATGGGGTCTCGCCATGTTGCCCAGGCTGTTTTCAAACTCCTGGGCTCAAGCAATTCACCTGCCTTGGCCTCCCTATAAGTGTTGGGATTATGGGCATGACCCACCACACCCAGCCTCAACTTTCAAAATAGTTCCTCCTCCCTCCATACAACCTGTCACCCCAAATCCCATTTTCTTCATTCAGTACTATCAGCAAGCTTTAAATCATAATGATAATAAAATACCCATTAAAGGAACTAGGAATTATGAGGAGAGAATGCAGAAGAAAATGTGAAGTCCTACCAAGTGGGGCTTTCTTGGTGTTATACTTCATTTCCATCATCATTTCTTCCATGGCCTGAACATTACAGATTAACTTTATTAACTCCTGTACCCGAAGATCTAGCTGTGACTCTGGCTTCAAGGGAGATTTAAGAGATTCCTCTTTCTTTGTTTCCTCTTCATCCTATAGCAAAAAACAAACAAACAAAAGAAAATCTAAGAAATCATCTCTAGATTCCTTATAACACTCAATATTATACAATGTAAATGCTTTGTGAAGTTTTTATTGCATTGTCTAGGGAATAATGACAAGCAAGGAAAAAAAGGCTGTACAGGTTTGGTACAGAAGCAGTTTCTTTTCTCAAATATTTTTGATTCTCAGTTCATTGAATCCATGGATATAGAGGGTTAACCATACTAGTTCTGCCTCCCACATTTTACAACTCAGAATAAGTCTAGGAAAAAAAGGCTTTCCTCATTATGTCAGTGTATAAAGATAGCTATTATGGCTCAGATCTTCCCATCTTAAAAAAGACTAAAACTTCTCTATTTTTTTTGGATATGTGACTGTTTCAGGACACTTTCAGCATCCTGGTATACCTCCGTTTATCTAAATTAATTTTTTTATGGTGGTATATATCCAGAAGTGAAGAGAAATTTAAATGTAATTGTTTAATCAGTTTGATTTTTTATTACTCCTCTCTTGGTCCTAACAATAAACTTCTGGAAATAGGGCCTAAGATTTTATAAGAACCTTAGTAGGCCCGGCGTGGTAGCTCACGCCTGTAATCCCAGCACTTTGGGAAGCTGAGGCGGGTGGATCACCCAAGGTCATGAGTTCAAGACCAGACTGGCCAACATGGTGAAACTCCATCTCTACTAAAAATACAAAACACATTAGCCGGGCATGGTGGCAGGCACCTGTAATCCCAGCTACTTGAGAGGCAGAGGCAGGAGAATCGCTTGAACCCAGGAGCTGGAGGTTGCAGTGAGCCGAGACTGAGCCATTACACTCCAACCTGGGCAACAAGAATGAAACTCCATCTCAAAAAAAAAAAGAACCTTAGTAAATAACAGCCAAGAGTACAAAGGCACATTCTATCCTCATTCTTACTGTCCCTTCGGGATTACAAAGATCAGTGAGAACACCCCTGAGGTGAGTAGAAAGGACTCACGATATCCTGGCCTGTCCCAGTCTAGGAATGATCTAAGCTATTCTGCTTTATCCTGAGTAAGAAGAAACAGAAGTAGGTGTGGTGCCTCATGCCTGTAATCTCAGGACTTTGGGAGGCCAAGACAGGAGGACTGCTTGAGCACAGGAATTTGAGACCAGCCTAGGCAACATAGTGAAACCTTATCTTTACAAAAAAAAAAAAAAAAAAAAAAAAAAAAAATCAGCTGGGCAGAGTGGCACGTGCCTATAGTCCCTGATACTGAGGAGGCTGAGGTAGGAGGATCACTTGAGCCTAGGGATCTTGAGGCTGCAGTAAGCCATGATTGTGCCACTGCACTCCAGCCTGGGCAACAGAGCACAACTTTGCCTCTAAAAAATAAAATAAAATAAAAAAAGAAGATGGGTTTCCTCCAAAAAGTATAGTGGAGAATTACCTGAGTATTGGTGGCATAGTCCATCTGTAGCATATCATATTTTCCAGGCACCTTCTCAAACTTTTCTCGATCTTCCCAATTGTTTTTTGTTTTGTCAAGGAATCTGTAGAGTCCAAAGTGTAAGAAAACCTTACAAATAAAGGTCTACTATGAAGAAGGACTTACAACTGTTTCCTTAGACAGAAAATCTCCAAATAATTTATTTTCCACCACTGAGCTCCTTTACACATCACCTTTCCATAAATCAAAATTAGTCTAATTCTAAGTGAGGACACTAAATGGATAAAAAAGCTCTGGAGACAAATGGAATTTAAAAAATGGGGAAAAACAATGCTTGTCCTTCCCAAACACCACAAAAGCCATTGAGATTTTAAACAAAAGATATCCATCTAATCCCTTTCCCTGAAAGAAACATGTTCCTAAATTCTCCGGAAAGTTCTTCATCTATATCAGAGTTAAAGTTTTAAAAACTCTAACTGAATATTCTTTTTTCTTTCTTTCTTTTTTTTGGGGAGAGTCAGGGGTCTCGCTTTGTTGCCTAGGCTGGTCTCAAACTCCTAGCTTTAAGCAATGCTCCTGCCTCAGCCTCCCAAAGTGCTGGGATTTAAGGCATGAGCCACCGTGCTCAGCCCCTAGCTGAATATTCTCTACCCTATGATAGTCTCCACTTATCCCAAATTTCCTAAATTTGTCAGCCATGTGTTAAATATATTATTCTGTTTTTAGTGACTTTCAAAGTTCTAGTTTGATTTAATCACTAAGGATGCAGTTTGGTGTTTCGACCACAGAATGTCAGGGTGAAAAGACATTAACATTTAGGCCAAATCACACCTACAAAATGAAAAGTTTTTCATAAGCCACACACTTATAAAATTCTTAGAGAAGGCAGGGCATGGTGGCTCATGCCTATATTCCCAGTACTTTGGGAGGCCAAGGCAGGTGGATCACCTGAGGTCAGGGGTTTGAGACCAGCCTGGCCTACATTGCGAAACCCCATCTCTATTAAAAAATACAAAAATTAGCTGCGTGTGGTGGTGGGCACCTATAATCCCAGCTACTCGGGAGGCTGAGGCAGGAGAATTGCTTAAAGCTTAAAGGTTGCAGTGAGCTGAAGTCGTGCCATTGCACTCCAGCCTGGGCCAACAAGAGCGAAACTCTGTCTAAATCAAAATTCTTAGAGTAGATACATCTAAGAAGAGGGTATATTTTTTTGTAGTCACTTTTTTGCACTCACTTCTTCTCAAAGATTTCCTTGGCCTTGTTGAGATTGCCTGAACAAGCCACCAGGCTGTGCTGTCCCATTTTCCCAACTGCAAAGTAAACGCCACACGTAAGATAGTTTCCTAATAGTAACAGGCCAGCTCTCCAAGTCTCTCTGTTTAACATCTGACAAACAGGCAGGAAAGGGAGAAGGGAAAGTGAAAGGATTTAGGGAACTAATCATGTTGATACAAGTTACCTGCTAACTGCGATAGTCTATGAGCACTACTAGCAGTTCAACTATAGAAGAGTTTTCAGCCTCAATGGGCTACTCTTAGTTTTTCCAGTGGGAACTCTAAGGAGGATGCCTGCCATTCCCCAATTTCAAGATGCTCAACTTGATTCCTAAGCCTCTCCCAGACTTCAGAGCCTCTACTGACCCAATTTAAAACCAGAGAATCCGGCCGGGCGCGGTGGCTCAAGCCTGTAATCCCAGCACTTTGGGAGGCCGAGACGGGTGGATCACGAGGTCAGGAGATCGAGACCATCCTGGCTAACACAGTGAAACCCCGTCTCTACTAAAAAATACAAAAAAAAAATAGCCGGGCGAGGTGGCGGGCGCCTATAGTCCCAGCTACTCGGGAGGCTGAGGCAGGAGAATGGCGAAAACCCGGGAGGCGGAGCTTGCAGTGAGCTGAGATCCGGCCACTGCACTCCAGCCTGGGTGACAGAGCGAGACTCCGTCTCCAAAAAAAAAAAAAAAAACCAGAGAATCCTTTGGCCACCCACTAAGCTACTTCTGACTTTCTGAATGCCAACTCATAAAATCTCAGTAAAAATCATTACCTCGGCCCCATCTCATCCAAACACTGAAGTTCCTCTGGGCATCATCTTCTAATAGCTGAATCAGATAGTACTTGTTGTTGTTGAACTGGAGATTGGTCTATGTTGAATGAAAACAAAAACAAAAAGCAGAGTTTTGCAAATGGAAAGCACATAAACCAATGACTCATCCCTCATCACAGGTGCCAGTTGATTAAAGATATAAAGAAGAAATAGGGCTTATGCATTAAACTTTGGATTCTTAGGAATTAAAATGGGAGCCTAGAAGCTTCCTAAACCCTCTCTCCAACCTCAAATATCCCACATTGAATGGCTCCTCCTGTTTTTTCCTGCCTTAGCTCCCTATTTAGATATTTTTCTAAGCTATCTGTGTTTTCCAGCTCCCAATCCACTCCCAATAATTATTTCCCAAATGAAAACAATTTTGATGCTCCAAAGGTCTAAAACTGTTATGCTCAACTGTTAAATGACTTACTCCTTGACAGTTCTACCCACAACTTTTGTTTGTTGGTTGCAGAAATTTGACAATGAGCTGAGAGCAGTGCAATACTGGGAGGGGACAAGCGATATGAAAAACCACTGCCTCATCTGTCCCATACCTAACCTGACCTGACTTGGAGATACTGAGAGAGAATATGGCCAGTATCTAAAAAGAGGTATCTGTAAGTAAATCACTCAGAGTGAAGAGAGAGAGAAGTCCATGATAAGGCACAGCAGCTGGTATTGTATGGCTGAGCGCTGGATATGGAGGCATTCTTCTTTGTTAAGCATGCTGCCTCTTCCTACTTCTATCTCCTGCTTGCTCACATGCTAAAGCCACTGTATGACCTTAGCCCACTGGTGAAAAAAAAAGGTCATTAGATGTTAGAACAAAAAGGAGCCTAAGATAATAATTTTTTTTTTTGGAGACGGAGTCTTGCTCTGTCGCCCAGGCTGGAGTGCAGTGGTGCAATCTCCGCTCACTGCTACCTCCGTGTCCCAGGTTCAAGCAATTTCTCGTGCCTCAGTCTTCCTAGTAGCTGGGATTACAGGTGCACGCCACCGCGCCAGACTAATTTTGTATTTTTAGAGACGGAGTTTCAACATGTTGGCTAGGCTGGTCTTGAACTCCTGACTCGTGATCTGCCCGCCTCAGCCTCCCAAAGCACTGGGATTACAGGCATGAGCCACCACGCCTGGCTTGATATTTTCTTTTCCTTTAAAAAATGTATATGGTTTTTGTTTTTGTTTTTTTGAGACAGGGTTTTCCTCTGTCACCCAGGCTGAAGTGCAATGGCTCAATCACAGCTTACTGCAGCATCAACCTCCCAGGCTCAAGCAATCCTCCCACCTCAGCCTCCAAAGTAGCTGGCCCATGCCCAGGTGTTTTTGTATTTTTTTGTAGAGACAAGATTTCACCATGTTGCCCAGGCTGATCTTGAACTCCTGACCTGAAGTGATTCTCCAGCCTTGGCCTCCGAAAGTGCTACGATGACAGGCATGAGCCACCATACCTGGCCACCTTAAGGTATTTTCCTTTTTTGAGACGGAGTTTTGCTCTTGTTGCCCAGGCTGGAGTGCAATAGTGTGATCTTGGCTCACTGCAACTTCTGCCTCCCGGGTTCAAGTGATTCTCGTGCCTCAGGCTCCCAAGTAGCTGGGATTACAGGTATGTGCCACCATGCCTAATTCTGTATTTTTAGTAGACATGGGATTTCTCCATGTTGCTCAGGTTGGTCTCGAACTCCCGACGTCAGATGATCCACCCACCTCAGCCTCCCAAAGTATTGGAATTACAGGCGTGAGCCACTGTGCCCAGCCAACCTTAAGGTATTTTCTATCTGCCTGTGGTATTTTAAGTAGAAGAAACAGTAACAAAGAAATACTAATTAGTTGTTAAAATTACATATGTTGGATCAATAAATTCAAATATGAAGTCATATCCAGGAAATATATTAATGAGGCAAATGTATTATCTACTCAAAACCACAAAGATAAACAAGAGAAAAAGTTTGATTAAAAAGAAAGCTGGGCTTGGGGGCAGATGCATGTAGTCCCAGCTACTTGGGAGGCTGAGGTTGGAGGATCACACGAGGCCACAAGTTCAAGGCCAGGCCAGCCTGAGCAACATAGCAAGACACTGTCTCTTAAAAAAAAAAAAATTTTTTTTTAATGAAAAATTAATAAATTTAACTATAGAAAAAATTTAAAGCTTCAATATGGGCAAAAAGTGTACTACAAAGAAAACCAAAAGGTAAATGACAAATCTGGAAAACATATAAGCGATTTATGTTACAGACAAAAGGCTATTCTCCATATTATATAAAGTTCCTTGAAACCAGTAAGAAAAGGACCAACAACTTTTTAGAAAATGTGCAAAACAGCTTGTCCCAGTGGCTCATCCCTGTAATTCCAGTGCCTCATGAGGACAAGGCAGGAGGATCATTTGAGGCCAAGAATTCAAGACCACCTATTCAACATAGTGAGATTCTCATCTCCATAAAAAATTTAAAAATTAGTCAGGCTTCGTGGCATGTGCCTGAAGTCCTAGCTACTCAGGAAGCTTAGGTGGGAGGATTGCTGGAGCCCAGAAGTTCAAGGTTGCAGTGGGCTTTGACTGCACCAACTGCACTCCAGCCTGGGTGACAGAACAAGATCCTGTCTCTTAAAAAAAAAAAAGTGCAAAAGGATATGAACAGAGAGTTAACAGTTATAAAAGTTTTTTATAAGCCATACACTTACAAAATTCTTAGAGAAGGCAGGGCACGGTGGCTCACGCCTGTAATCCCAGCACTTTGGGAGGCCAAGGCAGGTGGATCACCTGAGGTTAGGGGTTCGAGATCAGCCTGGCCAACATGGTGAAACCCCATCTCTACTAAAAATGCAAAAATTAGCTGGGCATGGTGGTGGGCACCTATAATCCCAGCTACTTGGGAGGCTGAGGCAGAAGAATCGCTTAAACACAGGAGACGGAGATTGCAGCGAGCTGAAAGCCACTGCACTCCAGCCTGAGCAACAGAGCAAGACCCTGTCTCAAAAAAATATATATATAAATATACATATATTATATATAAATATATATGTAAAATATATATTATATATTACATATATAAAATATATACAAATTATATATAAATTTATGATATAGACATATATTCATGTCACATATATGATATCTATGATATGCAATATATATTTATATTACATATATGATATATATGTATATGACATATATTCATATCATATGATATATAATGCACCTGTATCATATAGATGATACATATATATCTGATATATCTATATTATATCCTATCTATATATCATCTATATTCATATCATATATGTGATATTTATAAACATATATTTATATATGTGTATATGATATATATGTATACATAATATACATGTATATATTTATATATTACATATTTATATATTATATATTTATATATACATATATATTTATATATATTTATATGTGTATATAGAGGACTTTAGGCAAGGCATGCTGGTTCACACCTGTAATCCCAGCACTTTGGGAGGCTGAGGCGGGTAGATCACTTGAGGTCACAAGTTCGAGAGCAGCCTGGTCAACACGGCAAAACTTTGTCTCTCCTAAAATACAAAAAATTAGCTGTGTGTGGTGGTGCATGCCTGTAACCCCAGCTACTCGGGAGCCTGAGGCAGGAGAATTGCTTGAACCCGAGAGGCAGAGGTTACAGTAAGCCAAGATTGTGCCACTGTACTCCAGCCTGGGAGATGAAGTGAGACTCCATCTCGAAAAGTAAAAACAAAATTAAAAAAAGAAAAAAAAAATTTAAAGATCTGAGCACTGGGATTCTATCATCAATAATTATCAAGAAGACGGTCTCATAAATATAATGGTTCTACCTCTTCTACCTCTTACCTGATTTAGCATGACATCATAGACATCACTTCCTTCACAATACACATGAGCCTAGAAAGAGAGAGAAAAAAAATCAACACTAGTATAGGTTCAGCCCTGAGATCCACAATGAGGCTCTAAATTTTCTTATGGCTCAAGTTGTCATTCTACAGCAACATCAACATTCATCTTCCAGCAAAGAATTGCAAACCTATGTTCTACCAGTAACCTGGGTGTAACCTTACTATAAATGAAAACATGCCTCCTTTTTTTAACAATACAAAAGATTCTAACTGAGTTAGACTAGGCATGGTGGCTCACGCCTGCAATCCCAGCATTTTGGGAGGCTGAGGTGGGCAGATCACTTGAGGTCAGGAGTTCGAGACGAGCTTGGCCAACACGGTCAAGCCCCGTCCCAACTAAAAATATAAAAATTAGCTGAGGCTGGGCGTGGTGGTGGGTACCTGTAATCACAGCTACTTGGGAGGCTGAGGCAAGAGAATTACTTGAACCCAGGAAGTGGAGGTTGCAGTGAGCTGAGATCACACCACTGTACTCCAGCCTGGGTGACAGAGTGAGACTCCATCTCAAAAAAAAAAAAAAAGATTCTGAGTTAAAGAAAACTTACTCCAGAGGTAGCCTTCTTTTTTCCCCATTCATCAGTAACTCATACCATTCCAGGGTACAGTTTCTCATTAGAACAAGAAAACACTTTTCCTTTAACAATGATACCATTTTCTGGTTTAAAAAGAGAATGAGGTGTAGAAAGCCGATGGCAATCACAGAAGGTACAAATGTCATATATTTTGTACATTTGTCTCCTTCCAAATCTCACACTGAATTATAATCCTCAGTACTGGAGGTGGGGCCTGGTGGGAAGTGATTCGATCATGAATGGTTTAGCACCACTCTCTTGCTGCTGTCCTCTTGATAGTGAATTCACACATTTGGTAGTTTAAAAGCATGTGACACCTCCCCCACTCTCTCTCTGTGATACCTCCTCCAATCTCTCTCTCTCCCGCCCTTGCTTTTGCCATGTGAAGTGCCTATTCCTGCTTCACCTTCTGCCATGAGTAAAAGCTTCCTAAGGTCTCTTGAGGAGCAGATACTGCTATGCTTCCTGTATAGCCTCCAGGAACCTCTTTTCTTATAAAGTACCTAGTCTCAGGTATTTCTTTATAGCAATGCAAGAATGGTCTAACACACCATGTTTAAAAACGCCCTGATTATTAACCCCAAGCCTTACCACTCCTATCTCTTGCCATTAGAGAAAACTAATCACTCATCATATTTTGGAGAGGATTCCTGAAATGAATATGAACAGCATCCCAGACAGGAGTCCTTATAACAAAGGATGCTCTCTGAGACATCCACGGACTAAAGATCGGTCCAGAGTGTCTTACCTTCCCCACCTTGGCTGTACATTCTGGGTCCACAGGAACTTTGCCCTTTAACAGCAAGGCCTTCACAAATTCTGAGGAAAGACAGATAGGTACTACTTTATGGGAATCAAAAACAGCTGTTGTGGTTAAACAGAAACTTGTGAGAATTAACTTTGTCCTCCCAACCAATCCTAGTCTTTCCTTAGGCCTCAATCCATCTCAAATACATGAAAATGAGGATTCAAGGCAGTAGATTAGTGCTGTGGTATGCCCAAAGGATAGAGAAATTAATTCTATCCTGAAAGAAGGAAGAAATAAGAGTTGAAATAACAAGATATCATCCCCAGATCCACTCCTACCAGAAACCCTCTTGCTGGCCCATGACCTCCCTGGCGTACCATCTTGCTTGTCTTCTGTCCTGTCCTCATTAGCGTTTCCTCCAGTCACAGGCATCTTTTTCGACCCCTGTCTCTGGCATCTGCGAGTTTTCTTGGCAGGGGAAGAGTCTTCTGGAGTTGTGTTGCCATTATTAACTCTTTTGCTTTCATTTAATGCTACAAAATTTGGAAATGAGCAAAGAATGAGTACACCTGAAAACGTGTAGATTGAAAAAAATCCTTTAAAGAAATGGTTTAAGATCATTCTTTCTCTTTTCTTTTTTTTTTTTTTCAAGGTGGAGTCTCACTCTGTTGCCCAGGCTGGAGTGCAGTGGTACGATTTCTGCTCACTGCAACCTCTGCCTCCTGGGTTCAAGTGATTCTCATGCCTCAGCCTCCCAAGTAGTTTGGATTACAGGCGTTCGCTGCCATGCCCAGCTAATTTTTGTACTTTTAGTAGAGACAGGGTTTCACCATGTTGGCCAGGCTGGTCTCAAACTCGTGACCTCAAGTGATCTGCCCTCCTCGGCCTCCCAAATTGCAGGATTACAGGCCTGAGCCACCGCACCCCGCCAGTTTAAGATAATTTTCTAAGTTTACAAAGAGGCAATAAAAACTGTCCCCACACTAGCCTTGTGTAACAGTCTGTGTAATTCTTCCTAAATTGCTATTCTAGCCAAATGAAATAAAACAAAATAAAAGGGAGCCCCAGGAGTCTTGTAAGCTCATAGACTGAGGCCTGCTTATCTGTTTTGTTTACTTGTGTCCCAATGTCCCCCAAATACCCAACTCATACATGAGGCGGTATGGGATAAAGGTTAGTAAACTGCTCAAGGGTCTGTGCCTAATTTAGAGCCTAGCTCTGCTGCTTTTATCTGTGGAAACTTGGAGAAGTGTTTGATCTCTTCCTACTTCACTTGCTCCAATATTAGAACATTGTACAATACTGTACTTCTAGAGAAGTACAATAGTACCTAATTTATAGGGTGGACCTATGCACTTAAGAACATTATACACATAATACCGTATCTCAATAGGTCTAGACTCGCATTTTACCCTCTGGAACTGGGATCCATCTTAGAATGGATGGCATAAGCAGTGAATCATAGTTCACCATTTTCAGTGCTTATCCTTTCTTGTGTATAAAATAATGGTGTGCCTCACAATTACTTTTTGTAAATTGTATGACATTAGGTATTAACAACAGTACTGGCACATTAGTTGTTACAGCTCTGCAAGGCTTTATGCACAGTTATGTCATCCCCAAAGCTCTGAAAAGCTAAATTTACAAAATTTAGCACCCAAACTGGTTTGGTAGCCAAGTGCAGGTTATGGGGAGGTGGAAGGGGAAGGAGGTCACAGTAGGTGGCATCGTTCCTTTTCTGACTCCTCGCTTCCGCATTCCCTCCCGCGATATTGAGCTCCGAACCTCTCGCTCTGCCGCCGCGGGTGCTCCGTCGTCGCCGCGCCGCCATGGAATTCGAACGCTGACGTCATCAACCCGCTCCAAGGAATCGCGGGCCCAGTGTCACTACGCGAGAACACCCAGCGCGCGTGCGCCCTGGCAGGAAGATGACTGTGAGGGAGAGGGGTGTGACGCCCTGCAATATTTGCATGTCGCTATGTCTTCTGGGAAGTCACCATAAACGTGAAATGTCTTTGAGTTTGGGAATCTTATAAGTTCTGTGTGGGACCACCCTTCCCCATAGGGCGGAGGGAAGCTCATCAGTGGGGCCACGAGCTGAGTGCGTCCTGTCACTCCACCCTCATGTCCCTTGGGAAGGTCTGAGACTAGGGCCAGAGGCGGCCCTAACAGGGCTCTCCCTGATCTTCGGGGAGGTGAGTTCCCAGAGAATGGGGCTCCGCGCGAGGTCAGACTGGGCAGGAGATGCCGTGGACCCCGCCCTTCGGGGAGGGGCCCGGCGGATGCCTCCTTTGCCGGAGCTTGGAACAGACTCACGGCCAGCGAAGTGAGTTCAATGGCTGAGGTGAGGTACCCCGGAGGGGACCTCATAACCCAATTCAGACTACTCTCCCCCGCCCATTTTTGAAAACAAAACAAAAAAAACAACCGGGGCCGGGGGCGGTGGCTCACGCCTGTAATCCCAGCACTTTGGGAGGCCGAGGCGGGCAGATCACAAGGTCAGAAGATCGAGACCATCCTGGCTAACGCGGTGAAACGCCGTCTCTACTGAAAAAAGAAACAAAAACAAAAAATTAGCCGGGCGAGGTGGCGGGCGCCTGTAGTCCCAGCTACTCGGGAGGCTGAGGCAGAGAATGGTGTGAACCGGGGAGGCGGAGCTTGCAGTGAGCCGAGATCGCGCCACTGCATCAAGCCTGGGTGACAGAGCAAGACTCCGTCTTAAAAAAACAAACAAAAAAACCGAGTGGAATGTGAAAAAGTTCCGTGAAACTGCAAAAACCCTTTGGGAACAGAGGGAACCATGGGGCAGGAAGCCCACGAAAATGCTAATTGGTCTTCTGGTTCTTGGTGAGATTGGGTGAGGGGCGCCCAAATGTTTGGCTGCATGAGAATCACCAAGTATGGGGACTGCATACTTAAGCAAATTCCCCACCCTAGACCTTCTGATTCAATAAGCATGTATTAACAAAATCACTGGGTGATCCTGATTTTGGCACCAATATCATTTAGAAACATATTGTTAGGATAAAATAGTACCTCTGTTATAGACCAACCTGAGCAAAATAGCGAAACGTCGTCTCTATTAAAAAAAAAAAAAAAAAAAGAGTAAAAAGTTAGCCAGGCGTGGTCGCAGGCGCCTGTAGTCCCAGCTACTTGGGAGGCTGAGGCACAAGAGTCGCTTGAACCCGGGAGGCGGAGGTTGCAGTGAGCCGAGATCGCGCCACTGAACTCCAGCCTGGGTGACAGAGAGACTCCGTCTGGAAAAAAAAAAAGAGAGAAAGAGAAAATTGATACATTTTATTTTTTTCATCAAAAGATGTAAAGTTTAGAAAGAAAAAACCCAAAATCTCATTAATTGCGTGTAATTTGATTATGAATATTTTAAAAGTTAGAAGAAACTACAGGATAAAAATTTGACCTTACTACAAAGCCTAGCAAGACTGATAGAAAATAGCATATGAAATAAATTGCATGTTTATAAAAGAGCTTCAAACAACTATAAATAAAATTTTTTTATAAGGTAGCATTTATAATAACACCAAAGCATATCAAGTAGTTGGAAATAAATCTGACAAAATGTAGGTGCTCGATAAATGTTTGTTGGATAGGATTGCTTAAGCTGTTTCAGTGGTACAAAGCCTGTTACATCTAACTTAATTATGGCACAAATAAATTAGACTAGGTCTTAAAGGAAATACTTTGGAGATAGAAAAAATATAATGTAACGCTTTATGAGATGAAAATTTATTTAAAAAGCTAATACTTAGTAGAACTTATAATGTAACGCTTTATGAAATGAAAGTTTATTTAAAAAGCTAATACTTAGTAGAACTTTCTTGTGTACTAGAGGCTGAGCTAAATGCTTTACATACATAACCTCATTTAATCTTCCTAAGAATAATAGCTGGAATTTATTTAGTTCTTACTATGCTATGAGCTTTACATACATTATTTAATTCTCACAACAACCTCATGAGGCATATGTTGTTTATCTCCATTTTATAGTTGAGGAAACTGAGCTTTAGAAAAATTTAATTTATTCAAGATCACAGAATGTATTGCTAGGGCTACTATAATTACATACTACAGACAGGATAGCTGTCTGTAAACAATAAATTTATTTTGTCATAATTCTGGCAGCCAGAGGCCCAAGATAAAGGTCTTGACACGGTTGATTTCTTCTAAGGCCTCTCTCCTTGGCTTGCAGATGGATGCTGTCTTTCCTCGGTGTGCGTCAATGTCCTAATCTCCTGTATTTTTAATTTTTAAAATTAAAAATTAAATTTTTTTTTTTTTAGACTCTCCCCATAACGCGCCACTGCACTCCAGTCTGGGCGACAAGAGTGAGACTCCGTCTCAAAAACAAAAACAAAAAAAACCTGGAAGAAACCAACAAATTTATTTTCATAATTAAAACCAAAACCTCTATAGATAAGTGGATGAAAGATATTAATAAACAGTTTGCAGATGATAAGTAAGTACATGGAAAAGATATTCAGGCTCACATAGTATGAAAAATGCAAATTAATTTTCGACAGGACAATTGGCCTACTCTCTTCATATTATAATAAGAAAAAAAAATTGTTAGGACTGTTCTAGAGTAAAGGAGACATTTGAAGCATAACAATCAAATGCAATGTTTGGATGTTGGTTTGAACAAACCAGCAGTAAATGGAGATACGTGGATATGGACTGAAAATTGGGTTATTTTAGGGAATTATTTATTTGATATTATAATGGTATTCTAGTTATGTTTAAAATAATTATTAGAATAATGATATTCTAGTTATGTTTAAAATAATGATATTCTATTTATGATTTTAAAATATCCTTTAGGGCAGGTGTGGTGGCTCATGCTTGTAATCTCAGCACTCAGATCCTCAGGCAGGAGGATTGCTTGAGCCCAGGAGTTCAAGACCAGCCTGGGCAACATGGTGAAACCTGACTCTACAAGTGCAAAAATTAGCTGGATAATTTATCACCTGAGCCTGAGATGTCAAGGCTGCCGTGAGCTGTGATCATGCCACTGTATTCCAGCCTGGGTGATACAGTAAGACCTTTTCTCAAAAAGAAAAAAAAAAAGTTATTTTAAAAAAGCGTGCTACAGTGTTTTCTGATAAGACATCAGGTTATCTAGAATTACTTCATTTTTACAGATGGAGTCTCACTCTATTGCCCAGGCTGGAGTGCAGTGGTGTGATCTCAGCTCACCGCAACCTCTGCCTCCAGGTTTCAAGCAATTCCCCGCTTCAGCCTCCTGAAGCGCTGAGCCTACAGGCACCCGCCACCATGCCCAGCTCATTTTTGTATTTTTAACAGAGACAGAGTTTTGCCATGTTAGCCAGGCTGGTCTCAAACTCCTGGGCTCAAGCGATTCACCCGCCTCAGCCTCCCAAAATGCTGGGATTACAGGCATGAGCCACGTTGCTCAGTCTGGAATTACTTTAAAATACTTCAAACAAATAAATCAAGTGAAGCAAATAGGGCAAAATAAAGGCAATTGTTAATTTCTAGCTAATGTGCATATAGATGTCCATTATATTCCTCTCTTTGCTTTTCTATATGGTTAAAATTGCTATAGTAGAAAGAAAAATATTAAGGAAAAAAATGACAAATTAGTCTGTTGTTCTAAAGAGAAAAGCCAACTGTGCAAATCAATTCCTAAGACTTTTGTAAAAATTTAAATATCTGTAGTTTAGATTGACATATCATAATGATAGGAAAATGGATTTATCAAGCTAAACATAAAAGCTGCATAACTTTTGGGAAAGTCTCCTTTTTTTTCAAAAAATAAAATCTATCTGAAAAGCAGAAATTTATGATAACCAAGTTTAAAAAAATAGGCCACCCCTTTTTTTTCTTAAGCTCCCATGATTCGAAAACAAATAGGCCTCTTAAATAGAAAAGAACTCTTCCTAATGACTAGTTGTTTGGTTTTGTATCACATTGGACTAAGCAATTAGCATCCATATCTGAATAAAAAATAATTTAATTTGTACCTAAGATTATGGCCTGAAGCAATATATAAATATATAAGATTTATTTTCTTTATCTGGGTTCCAAGAAGGTGTAGAAATAGGATCCAGTAACATTTCTGAAACCCTAGGAAAAATAGTCTGAGAATACATAAAATGTAATAAGGAGAAATAGCAGATCATGCAACTAGAAAGTATACTGGAGTCAATCACCGTTTACATGAGACGTGTCCCAGAATGCTTTTGCACAGCATTTTGAGGCAGATATTTTCATCACCACTCAGGTGAATAACTGATGACGAGAGGGTGGTTATTTGCTGAGGAGGTCACCCTGCAGGAACCCAGCATTTGTTAGCACTCATTCTACCTGGAGTCCATTTGATTCCTATGTACCAACAAATATGACCATGACATGGACTTTAGATCTCTCCTTAGGATGACTTCTCAATATCGGGGTTGAGAACTGTACCAAGGATTTTTAAAAATGTGATTAAATATGTAGAATATTATGTCTCTTATTATTGATAACAAAAGGAGTCCTTTTAATTAGGGATCAGCACTTTGACTAGCGTAAGAAATTGTAGCAAATTGACCGGGCGTGGTGGCTCACGCCTGTAATCCCAGCATTTTGGGAGGCTGAGGTGGGCAGATCATGAGGTCAGGATTTCGAGACCAACCTGGCCAACATAGTGAAACCCTGCCTCTACTAAAAATACAAAAATTGACCAGGCATGGGGCGGGCGCCTGTAGTTCCAGCTACTTAGGAGGCTGAGGCGGGAGAATTGCTTGAACCCGGGAGGTGGATGTTTCAGTGAGCTGAGATTGCGCCACTGTACTCCAGCCTAGGCGACAGAGCAAGACTCCATCTCAAAAAAAAAAAAAAAAAAAAAAATTATAGCAAATTAAGTATACTACAAACTTTATTATCTTT